TAATAGCAATGATAGCAAGGTCACAGGCAGGATATAAAGTTAATATACAAAAGTTGGTTGTTCGCCTGTATTCCACAAATGAACAAGAACTGGTATTTGACATTAAAAATGCAAATGCCATGTACCCCCCAAAAAAGGAGGGGGGAATGTATTGGTAAAATCCCACTATCCACAAGAAATTAATTAAGAAAAATATCTATGGATAAATGGCAGAAAGATCAATAGGGGAAAGAGGGTGGGAGCAGGAGGTGGGGAGAGGAAAGGGGAAGGAAAGGAACCAGGGATTAGATTAGAACAAAATGTATTCCAGCTTTTATAATTAAATCAAAATTGATGCTATTATCATGTATAACTAAAAATAACCAATATAAGGGAAAAGAAAAAAATGGGCACAGGATCTACATGCTAAAATTACAATTGTCTGATGAAAGAAATCAGGGAAGATTCAGACAGCTGAAGAGATCTCCTAGGCTCTGCTTCCGGCCCCTGTGCGCTGAGCAGCGGTGCTCCAGCGTGACCCCCCTGGGTGCTCTGCCTTCCACAGGCCCAGACACAGGGAGCCAGCCAACCACGGACGGAACGCTCCGAAACGCTGGCCTCAAGTAAATCTTTCCCTCCTTGAAGCTGACTTCTGTTAGACAGTTTGTCATAGCAACAGCAAGCTGACGAACACAGCTGGACTTTACTAAACTTAAAAACTTGTGCTTTTAAGACACTTTTAAGAGGATAAAGAAGCAAGCCGACAACTGAAAGAAACTATTTGCAAAACACACCTTAGAACCTCCTTGCATACAAATGAATTTAAGAATTCGACAATTAAGAAAATGAACAACTAATTTTAAACCATGAGCAAAAGATTTGGAAATCTCATCAAGGAAGATCTGCCTATGAAAATATGTTCACCATAATTTGTCAGGAACCACAAATCAAAACAATGAGATATCACTGCACATCAAGGAGGAATGTGTGCTGCGACAAGAACACATTGTTGTGAATGTGTGAAACAACCTCACGGAAACACCGTAGAAGGAAAGGTATGGACCTAAGTGACTGGAGGCAAGGAAGCTGCTCATGAGCATTGGATTCTGGTTGCTAAAGCTATCCCCTGGGGCTTATAGTGACAATTCTGATTCTGGTATGCATGGACAGAATAATTAGGAAGATGGTGGGAGTCCAGGTTCTCACCATGGGAGTGGGAATTGACAGATAAGAAAAGGGAGGAGGCTGTAATGATCCACGTGGTAATGGATTACAGTTGGAGACACTGGTATGAACTCATGCTTAACATAGTCACAGGTGGTTACCTATAGACACACACACACACCCTCACCCACACACCTACTTCTTTGCCAACTGAAAGGCCCCAAAGAAATGATTGCTCAGTAGTAACAAACACCTAGTGCCCACATCGTAGTTTMTAATATCATTCTCCAATATACCGAACCAGGAATCCTTGAAAATTGTCCTGATTTTTTAGGACTGGGCCAGCAATGTACAAAATCAACTGGAACTTGTTATAGTACCAGACAGTAAAGAAATGCTGGAAACAAACAACAACAACAACACAAAAGCAAAGCCAAAGGTAAACAACACCAACAAATTTATTTTAGCTGAGAGTGGTGGTGCACCCCTGTAACGCCAGTGACTCGGGAGGCTGAGGCAGGAGGACAGCAAGTTTGAGGCCAGTTTTGGTAACCTAGCCTGACCCTATCACAAGATAAAAAATCAGAAGGGCTGAGGAGGTAGCTCAATGGCTGAGCATCTCTCTGTGCAATCCCCAGTACCCCAAAAAAAGAGAAGAAAAAATAAAAGAAAAACTTAAAAAATTCATATTGATGGAAGTATTTCAAAGGACATGGGAGCCATGAAAGAGCTCCCAATGGCCCAAACTGGAAAATTAACAGAAAAAAAGAAAAGAAAAGAAAAACGAACTAGAAGTACTATTGGATTATAGCCCGAAGTACAAAATAAATATTTGTGAATCCAACTGACTTAGATAAATGATTAAATGAATGAATAAGGGGAAATTCCAAATAATGTATATAGAGACTCCATTTGCAATGATGGAGAGCTCTAAGTACCATTCTGAGCCTGGCATAAGGACTTCTTTCAGAGTTCAGTACAGAGTGGGGCCAGGGGTGGGAGGAGAGAGACTTTATAGTGGAGGAATCTGACTCATTCTCTCAGCCAAGGGGTCAAAATTAGTATGGGCTCTGGTGAGCTGTATTTGACAGTGTGCATATTGGCATGATGTGATGAAACTGGTACTTCATCTTTGCAGTCTCCCCCTAAAAGTCTACCCTCCAGTCAAATCATGAGGAAGACGTCAGACGAACTCAGCTCAGGGACATTCCTCAAAATACCTGACAGTAACCCTTGAAAATGTGAGGGTCATCAAAAACAAGGACGATCTGAGAAGTCAACACAGTACGGAGCAGCCTCAGGAGATGACTAGGTACATTGTGACATGCCATGGGTGGGTATGGATATAGCAAAAGGACCTTAGGTAAGAACTGAGGAATTCTGAACAGACTACGAAATTCAGTTAATTATCATAAAAAAACACCCTAATTTTGTTTTATCAATTGTAACAAATGTACTCTACTAATGTCAGATTTTAACAATAGGAAAAACTGGTTAGGTAGTGTATGGAAACTCTCTCAACTATTCCCTCAACTTTTCTATAAATTCAAAATTGTTCTAAAAAGTAGAGTGTATTATGGCTTTCTTTCTAACTTCTACATGTGAGGACACAGTCAACCCTGGACTCTCTGAGTCTGGCTTATTTCACTTAACAGGATGTTCTCCAGTTCCATTCATTTACCAGCAAATAACACAATTTCATTCTTCTTTAGGGCTGAGTAAACTCCGTTGTGCATGGGTACCACATTTTCTTCATCCATTCATCTGTTGACAGACACCTTGGGCTGGTTTCTGAACTTGACTGTGGTGAATTGGGCTGCTGTAAACCTTTGTCTGCATGTATCAATGTAGTATGCTGGTCTTAGTTTGGTGGATAAATATAAAGGAGTGAAACAGCTGGGTGGCCTGGTGGTTCCATTACCAGACTTTTGAGGAACCTTCATCTTGATTTTGGATCTCACAAAAATAGAAGGGAGATCAGGAGGGTAGAGGAGGGGATCCAGGGGGAGGGAGGAGGAGAGGGGGAAAGGAGGTACCAGAGAATAAAAAAGAAAAAAAAAATCATGCTATGTGCAGGTAGAATCTATCACAATGAATCCCACTTTTGTGTGTAATTGTAATGTATCAATTTAAAAAAAAAAGGTAAATCAGTAGAGTAGAGGAGGGGGATCCTGGGGAGGGAACAGGGCAGGAGAGTCATGGTGCTGGGGAATGAAATTGATCAAATCAGGCCATGGGCATATACAAAATGTCATAATGAGTCCTGCCATTGTGTATCATTATAACACCCCTATGAAACACTAAAATTAAACTTCAAAAAAAGCAGTTTCTATGACAATAACAGCAATCACTTAGGACTTCAGAGGAAATCTGTCCGTGTTGGGTATGTGGGGCACTTCTGATTACTTCTTTCTGTGACCCCGATCTTCCCACCCAGTCCTATCCAAGTTCACTCTGAGAACTCGAGTCTGCATTGTCGTGATCTAAGGGACAAGAACCACTGCCAGTGGGCTGACCCAAGGAGTAATGGGGGTCAGCAGGAATTTTAGGAACCCCTTGGGATGGGTAGACCGCGGGGGGTGTGGATACGGAGAGCGAGAGAGACCCGCTTGAAGGCTGTTGCAGCAGCTCAGAGGTGGGAAGAGACCGCAGCCTGAGCGTAGGACTCCATCCTGATGTCGTTAACCAGGTGACAGGATTCCTAAGGAGGAGACATGATGAGCTTGGCTGGGGGTTGGGTGGGGAGTGAGGAATTCTGCGTACCGTTCAGATCCATGGAGTTTGAGTGCCTGTGGACACTTCAGTGGGGAAACCCCTGATAGACCCTTTGCCTGCAGTAAAATAGCTCTGAACGACCTGCTGAGATGATATGGCTAAATAGTTAAGGCAAGTCATCCGGGGGGTTAGGGGCAGGGCTGGTCTCAGGAAGGAGAGAGCCCCAAGTCCTAATGTGACTGAGGGCAGTCAAGGCTCAGAAGTGCCAGGAGCCAGGGTGCAGGAGGAAGCTAACGGCTGCCACCACTTCAGCTGTTCCTGCTGTCCAACCTTTACTTCCCTTAAGGACAATGTCACTTTTCTTCAGAGACCAGTCCCGGGAATGTCTCCTCTCCTCACCTTACAATTCTGCTTCTATTGCTTTTCCATCTTCCCAGTCCCCTCCCATAGGTGAGGCATCAAACCAAGTTGGAAAATGTAGGGCTGAGCTCTGCCCTGGGTTAGGCCTGGGGTCTCCATGGGTAGTGAAAGACAATATTGGACTGGGATAAGTAGATTCCCCCCCCCACCAAAATAAATTTATCTTCTCCTCCTGAAGGGCAAATATTGCTTTTAGGTGCACATGTGATGTTGTTTTTGTTTTTCTCTGAGTTTTGAGTCTTTTTCAGAAACTGTCGCACACAGTGGGTGGTTTCAGAGTAAAATAAAATGTAAAAAAAGGAGTCAAGATATTTGCCCTCCTTTGAGAATTGGACAAGGGCGGGTCAGTAGCAGCCATTGACCCATTCACAGATTTTTATGTGGTGAGGGACAGAGGAGGAAAAGCCAGAGAAATCGAGGACCTCAGGATTTATTACGTATTATTGTGTACACTCACAGGTTCCGTCATGGTACTGGGTGAGTTTAGGGTTAATGTAACAGTGACAGTCCTTCAGGCAGAGGCTCAGGTCGCCCAGGATTAGGCCTGGGCTCTTGGAGGTGGGTGCTGGGTATAACTCCCTCTCTCCCAGCCCCTAAAGGGACAGGCAGAGGGTCAGGCAGGCAGGTCCACAATGAGTGGGCCCCCAGGGGACCAGAAGAAAGTGAGTCTGTGTTCTCTTCCCTGTGTGGGAGGGTCTGTGCCTCCGGGACACTGGAGGTTCCTACTTAAGTTTGGTCATGTCAACACCTGCTCCTGCTGCTGTTTCCCTGCAGGGTGCGAGAAGTTCTCCCTTCAGTGCCGGGACTGGCTGGATCTCTTGGACCTGGGCAGGGCCTGGGACAAACCCGGGCTGCTCCAGATGCTCCTCCTGCGGCTCCAGGCACTCCAGTTCCTGATCCTGTCTCAGATGCTCCTTAAGCTGCTGCTCCCTTTGTGTTTCCTCTTGCTCCAGAATTTTTGCTCCTTGGGGTTCTTCATGCTGTGGCTGGCCCTGCTGCTGCTGCTGTCCCACATGCAGTTCCTGCTCCTGTGGGTGGCCCTGCTGCTGCTGCTGCTGTCCCACATGCAGCTCCTGTTCCTGTGGGTGGCCCTGCTGCTGATGCTGCTGTCCCTCATGCAGCTCCTGCTCCTGTGGTCCCTGCTGCTGCTGCTGTCCTAGATGCAGCTCCTGCTCCTGTGGGTGGCCCTGCTGCTGCTGCTGCTGTCCCACATGCAGCTCCTGCTCTTGTGGTCCCTGCTGCTGCTGCTGCTGTCCTAGATGCAGCTCCTGCTCCTGTGGGTGGCCCTGCTGCTGCTGCTGCTGTCCCTCATGCTGCTCCTGCTCTTGTGGTCCCTGCTGCTGCTGCTGTCCCACATGCAGCTCCTGCTCCTGTGGCTCCTGTGGTTTCTGCTGTCCCAGATGCAGCTCCTGATCCTGTGGTCCCTGATGCTGCAGGTGTCCCAGATGCAGTTCCTGATCCTGTGGCTCCTCCTTCTGTTGCTTTCCCAAATGCAGCTCCTGCTCCTGTGGCTTCTGATGCTTTTGCTTTCCCAGATTCAGCTCCTGCTCCTGTGGCTCCTCCTTCTGCTTCTTGCCCAGATGCAGCTCCTGCTCCTGTGGCTCCTCCTTCTGCTTCTTTCCCAGATGCAGCTCTTGCTCCTGTGGCTCCTCCTTCTGCTTCTTTCCCAGGTGCAGCTCCTGCTCCTGTGGCTCCTGTGGTTTCTGCTGTCCCAGATGCAACACCTGCTTCTGTGGTCCCTGCTGCAGTTGCTGCTGTCCCAGATGCAGCTCCTGTTCCTGTGGCTTCAGATGCTGCTGCTTTCCCAGATGCAGCTCCTGCTCCTGTGGTCCCTGATGTTGCTGCTGCTGTCCCAGATGCAGCTCCTGCTCCTGTGGCTCCTCCTGCTGTTTTCCCAAATGCAGCTCCTGTTCCTGTGGCTTCTGATGCTTCTGCTGTCCCACATGCAGCTCCTGCTCCTGTGGTCCCTGCTGCTGCTGCTGCTTTCCCAGATGCAGCTCCTGCTCCTGTGGTCCCTGCTGCTGCTGCTGCTGCTGTCCCAGATGCGGTTCCTGCTCCTGTGGCTGCTCCTGCTGCTGCTGTCCCAGATGCNCTGTCCCAGATGCGGTTCCTGCTCCTGTGGCTGCTCCTGCTGCTGCTGTCCCAGATGCGGCTCCTGCTCCTGTGGTCCCTGCTGCTGCTGCTGCTTTCCCAGATGCAGCTCCCGTTTGTGTGGCTCCTGCTGCTGTTGCTGCTGCTGTCCCAGATGCGGCTCCTGCTCCTGTGGTCCCTGATGCTTCTGCTGTCCCAGGTGCAGCTCCTGTGGCTCCTGCTGGTGTTGTTTTCCCTGATGCAGCTCCTTCACCTGGGGCTGCTCCTGCTGCTGCTGTCCCAGGTGCACTTCCTGCTGCTGAGGAGCTTGGTGCTCCTGCTGCTGCAGGCCCAGATGCACTTCCTGCCCCTGGGGCTCTCTTTGCTGCTGCGGCTGCTCACACTCTTGCTCAGGCAGCCCCTTCGCGAGAGCTGTGTGTTCCTCCTTCTGCTTGGAAGGGCCCTCCCCCGGGGACTCAGAGGGCACCTTCTGGCACGGAGGAGGCAGGGATGTGGGCTGCTTCGTTTGCTCCTGCTCCGTATGGGCTGAAGGAGAAGCAGTTTGGGGGAGTTCCTCAGTGAGGGTAGCAGGGACCGTCACTGGCCGTGTGTATTGCTGGGACATCTTGGAAGCTACTGTAGGTCAACCTGAAAAACAGAGGGTCAGAGGGATGGGCTGAAGGCCAAGGAAGCAGAGATGTCCAGCAGAGCTTGGCTTCTCAGCCCCCCTCCTCTTGGGTGGGGCACTCTCCCATCTCCTTTAAACTGTCCTTCCCAGAAGCAGCAGGGTTAAGTGCAGGGATTGGGAAGGGCAGGGAAAGGCTATCCTTGGGGCTCCTGATTCCCAGGCAAGAGCCAACAGAGAAATATGTCTCCAGAGCTGTTATGCAAGTGTGGGCTGGCTGCCATTTAACTTATTCATTTTGTCTAGTCTTGGCTGTGCCCTTATCTCTAGCCTCAGCTGATTAAGGGGTGAGAGATGAGTTCTGGGATTGTATCACATCAAGAGGAAAGATGCTAGAGGAGAAATATCTTCTAGAGATGACCACCGAGACCTGGAACATCAACAGCTTGTGCTGGAGTGGAACCGAGAAGTCACGGCATCAGCTTTAGACTGGGGTCACCCCATGTATTCGGGGCAAACCTCTCCCTCTGAAATGCTGTAAGTCATTGAGCACCTCTGAATAGGAGACTTCCTCTCTGTCAAATCAGCGGTTGGCCTGTTCAACTCCAGATCTCATTTTTTTTTCTGACCATCTGAACTTTATCTATAGCCCCAGTGCTTAGGGTCAGAAACGAGGGCGACTGGAAGGTCACCGAGACTTGGAACTTATTAATCAAGTCTTGTTCTTCTAAGTTAGGTTGTCTCCCCTTTTCTGTCTGGGTTTCTCCAAATTTAAATTCCTCCCTATTCTGAAGTCCCTCCTTTGTGCAGCACGCTAAGAATCATAAGCATCCCCCAGAACACCCTTCCCCTATAAGGAAGGCAGAATCATGGCCAGTCTAAACTAAAGAGCGTAGAAGAGAAATGGACTTGTTCTCCTCTGCCTAACTTATCTTTTACACAAATAAAGCCCCAGATGTTTTCCCAAGAAAAGGTGAGACATGTGAGGATTTATAACCACTCTGGGTCTCTAAATCCTGGCCCATTTCCCCCCTCACAGTGACTTGGGACCCCTGGAATAAAATGTAGTCCAGCTGAGTCCAGCCCCACCCRCCTGGACTGGCCTCTCCCAGCCGTGCCCCCACCCTGGTCCCATCAGCTGACACTCACCAGGCTCCCAGCAGGGACTGAGGCAGAGGCTGCTAGTGGAGTGGCGAGCTGCACAGGGACCAGCACACCCTTTATACCATGCCCTCCTGCCGCCTTCCCAGCGTGGAGGTGACGGACTGGTTTCACCACTCCAGTGGGTCCACCTCCTCCAGCCCCTACTCTGACTCATCATTAAGCAGCAAACCCCTCGGGGCCCCTTTTTCTGAGTGCCTCTCTGGCCAGAGGGTTCTCAGGGTTCAGCTACTCCTGTGATGACCCTCTGACCTGGGAACAGGGGAGGTGAGAAGGAGGAGGAAGGTGTCCCCTTGGTTTTTGACTTTCACCAAACTTCTCCTCTGCGTAGCAATTTCTCTACCTGTAAAATGAGTTTATCCTCATTATTGGAGTGAGGGATGCATTTCCCAGGGTAGGGGATGGAATGTTTTGTGTCTGGGATATCCAGATTGGGGTCTGGGGTGGAAGAGTCACTTCTGATAAAGGGATAGGATGGTGGGGCATTTCCTTGGGCTATAAGACTGTCCTGTCTCATAATGTCTCTATAATCACCTCCTGTGGGGAAATCGACTCTGTCTTAAGGAGGGTCTGGCTTGAGGCCAGGGAGAGGCAAGTGGAAGTCTTCCACACCTCTTCCTGCTGAACTCCAGAACTGCCAGCCTTGGTACCCAACGCTGCTGTGCTCATGAACACTCCAGAGCCTGGACCGCTCTAGGCAAGGAAAGGGGATTAAGTAGAAGCAGGGTACAGGTGGTGAAAACAAACACTTTCCTAGTCACCTCCAGAACGGCAGGACAGTGTGAAGGGCAGAGCCTAATCACGTCTTGCCTTCTCTAAACCTTTCTCTAAAAACAGCTTGGGAAACCTGTTTTTAGAGAAAAAAACAGGTTTTTTTTTTTTTTTTGAGCACGGCCCTCTGTAATGCTGATGGGGACCCCCGACATTTAGGATAAAATTCGAATTCACTGCCTTGATCAAAAGCCCTCAGGAACCTGGATTCTGCCTTTTTCTGGTTCTCCCCTCAGGTCGACCTCTCCCTGACAGGTTCACTGCCCCCTTTGCTGGGTGGCTCAGTCCCTAGGACAGGACAGCAGTCCTCACCCTGGGGCTAGGCACCTGCCCTCCTATACCCATGGGTTTCTCCCCGGGGCTTTGGTTATCACGTGCCTTTGAGCGTCAGTGTAAGTGCTGGACTCTGCCTGAGAATTTTCTCTGACTTCCCTGGTTCACTTCATTCCACTAATAAAAATCTAGAGTTATTTTGTTTACATTTGTTCACTGGGTTATGATGTATCTTTTCTTTTTTTAGTATTTATTTTTTTAAGTTGGACACAATACCTTTATTTTATTTATTTATTTTTATGTGGTGCTGAGGATGGAACCCAGGGCCTCACCCGTGCTAGGCAAGCGCTCTACCGCTGAGCCACAACCCCAGCCCATTATGTATCTTTCCAATTAGAAAATCAGGCATCGAAGGGCAGAGGTAGACCTGGTATGTTTCGAGTATGTCCCTAGAACCTATCAAAATCACCACTTCAGCCAAGTGCTCTATCAAAATCAGTTAAAGAAATGTCAGGATAATGGGGAGAGAATCCTCGTGAGTGGGGCTGACTTTGAGCACCTCCCTCCTAGCCCCAAGCAGTCATATCTGCAGTGTTGATTGTCCATGTTCCTGGGGCTCAGTCTGGAAAGACAAATGGAAGACTCACGGGGTCCTCTGTCCTCCAAAAGCTCCCTTTTCCTCGTGCCCCTCTATCCCCGAGTCTGCTGGGGTCTCACACCATCTCTTCCATAGAACCTCCGCTGGGCCATTTTGGGGCAGGGAAAGTGGCCTCCACCTCACATGAGAACTAACCGAGCCCCTTCCCTGGGCACCGATGCCCTTGTTCTCTGCAGCTGACCTCACCTGGGAGGAATCTGCCGCTCCCCAGCTCAGGACAGTCAGTGACAGCGCGGCAGACCTTGCTCAAAGAAGTCACACCAGTCTTATGAGTTTCCAGAGGCTCGGTATCTTCCAGATCTGCCTCCCTCCCTCTGATTCACAGCATAATGAGAGCTTTGAGAAGATAGTGTGTGTGCGCCTTGACCACTGGGCTAGCTGGATGTGGGAAGTAGGGCAGGGGATGGAGCTGAAGGAAGGGGGTGTTGGGGAGGGCGCGAGACAGCCTGGGATGGGGGGCCGGAGAAGCCCCAGTCTAGGACTCAGAGGCCCCKTAGGCTGCCCCATTTAGGAGTGGGGATGCGTGGATCTGGGGCAGGCCTCCTCGGTGCCTGTGTGAATGACCTCATAGGCCTCATGATGAGTCCAGGTAACTGTCCAGTCCCCGCCCGGGGTAATGAGGGTGAGCTCATGTTTCAACACACGGAGGCCTTGACCCAGCTCTGCCCCAGCCCAAGTAGGTCACGGCTCATTCTCTCCCAGAGCCAGAAACTGGCTGCTTTCTCTCTGCCCCGAGTGGGGAAGCCGATCTGAACTGTGGGTTAACTTTTGGGTGAAGAAGAGATTGGTTAGCRGAAGCCGCGGCCCTGTTGGGAGAGATGTTGGGCTAGCTCTCAGCACGTACGGGGTGAGGATAAATGGCCCTGGGAAGGGAACCGGGCCAGGAGATCTCATGTTCTCATCTTGGGTAGCCACATTGTCTGTTTCCCTGTGTGGCGATGGCCCCCACTCTGAGGTCACTTAACCTTCCCTCCGTCCCCTGGGCTTCCTCCTGTCCCGGGCACTGTCTCCCACCCCTCCAGCTTGCCCTCTGCCTTCCCACACGGCTCACACACTGCTTTCCTGCCTCTGCTGCCTTCTGAGCCTGACCTTGGCTCTTTACTGCTCTTTTTGGGTCATTTGCTGCCCAGGAGAGAATAAGCCAGGGGGAGGGATGGACCAGGCATCTGTCCAGAGAGACAATGCTCTTTCAGATTCTGGGCGGACCTGTCCACACTGACCTGCTGCTTCTCTTCCCTCTTCCTCTGACCGCCCTGCCTTGGCCTKTTGAATCGTGGTTCTCACTTTCCATCTCCACTGGCCCTTTCTCTTGGGCCCAGCAGCTGTGGAAGGACAGTTAAAGTTTTGCCCTTGATGGCAGCAAGAGGACCAAAGACAGGCGTAGCTCTTTGTGGGGGAGAAGAGGGCCTTCTCGGCAGGCTGTCCTCCAGGTGAAAGGAGTGTCCCCCGCCTTGGTCACATTGTTGGAGAAACCATGTTGTTTGTGGCTGATTTTCTGTACAACAGAACGGCTGAGATGGAAGGGGTGGAAGAGAATACACGGGAACTGCCCCACACTGCTGTGGGTGTGGGAGCTCCTCCATCTCCCTCTCTGATTATTGTTCATGATGACTGATGTCTGGGGATGCAGTGCCGTGGTGGTGTGCTTGCCCAGCATGGACGAAACACTGGGTCTACAACAAAATAAATAAATAAAATAACGGAAAATGGTTTTAATTCAAAATAGGTAAATGCAGAGCAATAGAGAGCAGGTTGGTGGTTACCAGGACCAGGGAGGGTAAAAGGGACAGTCACTGCATCGTGAGAGTACTGTGGAGGTCAAGTTGGTGATGGTACAAGATGCGAATGTACTAGACGCCACTGAGTTATTCACTTTAAAATGATTAATTTTATGGTAAGTGGATTTTGCCTCCATTTTTAAAAAGATTGCATGCTTGTCTAAAAACTAACCCCAAGATGAAGCTGTGGACATGGCTGACGTGTTCATTCAGCCAGTCATTGAGTGCCTGTTGCRTGCAAGGCGCTGGAGATAGTGGTGGATATAAATCACGGTCCCTACCTCCAAGTGGTTTTGAGTGGAGCAGCTTCTTAAGACAGCCTAGTCCCCTGCACTGGGGTTTATCCGTCATATGACARA